AAGATGTATACAAGAGGACTTCAAAAAGTTCATGGAAAATGAAATGAAAAGATAATGGAATTTTTCCACAAACTTTTTGAAGCCCCCTTGTATAGCTCTATTTACTATTTTATAGCTCTATTTTAGTCACGAGGAAATCGAGGCTTAATGCCATTACTAGAGAACTGGGTATTCAGATGCGATAAAAAAAAAAATACAACAGCAGCTCATGGCTCACAAGCAGATTTCATCCTCCTTGTTCTGAGACGGAGAGGAAGACCAAGCAAGAGGGTGTTGCCAATGAAGGGAAACCAGAGAGGTGGAACCGAGGAAGACTGAAGAATGTTATACCCATACTTTCTAACTCTGGTATCACCCAAGAAGCTTCTTCTTTCAACCAACATTATGACCCCAAATACAGTGAGGGGAAGAATTAGCAACCAATTGTTAATTAAATGTCTGCTTCAACAGATGTCTGAAACCAGAGGGCAGAGACCGTCCCTGCAGAAATGTGTTTGAGGTCACCACGTCTCTCTAAGCCAGGTAGACAGAATTTTCAAGAATGATGCTGGGAGATGTGCCCCCACTTTGGAAGAGCCCAATTTTGAAGTGCTTAGAATGAAGTTTCCTAAAAAAGGTTTGGTCAGCTGAGGTGTTCTTGTGGGACTGCGTCACAGACCAAGTTCTCAGTGTCTCCTTTCCTTGCTATCTCAGAGGTGGTATCTTTACCTCTTTGAGAGAGCCACTAAAGAAGGTGGGGACTTCAATAGTTACAAAGCGACTGTAGAAGTAGGTGACAGAGTGAGGTCACTGGACCTTACTGTGCCCACTCCTTCGGCCTCTCGGACACTCAATAAAATGCTTTGGCCCCCCTCTCCTGCAAAAAAAAAAAAGGGTGGTGGTGTGTTTGTGTGTGTATGTGTGTTTGTGTATGTATAGAAACTATCTTCTTGTTTCAGGACCCAAACAATCATATGTAGTTTAACCATTATGACTCTCTTCTTGAGCCAACATTCTCTGAAACTGTGGAGTAGCCCAGCATATGGCCCAGTGGACTTGATGACTCAGTGTAGAAACTGTTGACTGTCGTAGTTAGCTCTACTTTCCAGGCGGAGGAATGTAAACGTTCTTCCACCCATGCCTCACCCTTCAGAGGGAGGCAAGAGTGGGCAAGGCATGGAATGTGAAATGGCCCATGATTGTATGAAGTACTCCACCCACCTCATTAAATTTTATCTTTGTAGAGTTTTCCTTTAGAATTTTGAACATGTGGTATCACTTCCCTCAGGAGAACTCTGTCTTCACACCCACTGTGATATGAGCATGCTGAAGATTGTGTGGGGAGCGGGTGGGCTGTAGCCTGAAACATCCTGATAACCACAACACTACAGACAACTTCCTGGGGTGGCGCTGTGGGCTAATGCGTCAGACTGCAAAGTCGTTTCAACTGCAAGGTCGTTGGTTCAAGCTCGCCAGATTCTCCTCAGAAACCCTATACAGGGTCGCTATGGTTCGGAATTGACTCAACAGTACATAACAACAACAACAACAACAGGCAACTTCATCAGACTCGGTGCCCTCACTCCAAATTTTGAGCAATAGGCCAGTCAGTCTGTGGCTACAATGGCGACACAGAAGCAATCAAACTAATACAAATATGGCAATACCTAAAAAAGTAATGAAAAATAAACTTCCCTCTGACATGCACAGCATCTCCATCGCCCATCCTCACCCCTCCTCCCATAATTGAAAAGGAACAAGGGAGGGAAAGGAGCACAGGAGATGTCTGGTAGACAAGCTACAGCTGGTACTGCACCAGAGGGACCCTGAACCACTGAGCTGTTGGAATAGGCTTCTCACAGACAAGGCTCTTCTGACATGATACAGCCATGTCCGCAAGAGTTTCAAGATGCACTTTGTAATCAGGGTCATACGCAGCCAGACTCAAATGAGCTACGGAAACATGGCTATAGCTAATGATGCAGCAGCAGACTCCACTTCTCAAAGGTGAGGTTATGCACATGGATTCTGGGAAAATGCCTATGTCTTCGCCTGAATCTTCAAACTATGGGGGATGGCAGACATAGTAGGTAAAAGACATGGGCTCCTCCACCAGCACTCCCTGCTTCCATATTAAAAGTCTTTCCTTACCAGACATCGTATGCATCACCGTGGACTCATAAAGCCACACAATACACCAAAAAACACCTGTAGAGCCATTTCCCACAGGCATGCTGGGGTAATGTGCATACTGCTAAATCTCTGGCCAACTCCCAAATGATGGCTAGTTTTTACATATTAAGGAACTCTGGTAACAACTGGAATGGAAGATACATGTTTATTAAGTCAAGGAGAAATATCCAGTATAAAGTTAGAACATTTTAAGATTTTCCCCACCAAATAACAACTCTTATCTGTTCTATCACTTAAAATAAAGACAGACGGTTATTCAACTAAATTCCGGCTAAGCAGTGTCACAACAAATCACATCTAACTAATAAAGTTTCTAGAAACACTCTAGTTGGCCAAAACCCTGTGCCTTTTCTGTTTTCTGAGCAACACTTCAAGTTAATTTCATAGTGAGATCAGCTGTCGGTGTAACTAAAATGTGCATATGCTAGGACCTCAGATGACCTGAGACGGAGGAAGGGGATCATAGAAACTGCAGTAAGTCTTAAGAAGAGCTCCCCAACTACACACGACTGCCCAAGCTCCTACTCATCCCCTTCAGCTCCAGAGCAGGGGTTGGAACCTTGGCAGTGGAAGTCAGCTCACAAGAGATGAGAGTCTTGTAAGGTTTTACCTTTGTGTAGCTTTTTTTTCCCCCTAAAAAGGATATTTTGTGATATGTGATAACTTCTTGTTGTTATGTGCCGTGGAGTCGGTTCTGACTCATAGAGACCCTGCATAAGGTTTCCAAGGCTATAAATCTTTATAGGAGCAGAACAATTGGTAGTTTCGAACTGCAGACTGTGAGATTAGCAGCCCGATTAGTAACTACTATGCTACCAGAGTATACGTGTACAAAGTTCATGTTTTAGGATGTATAAAGTTTTATTGGAACACAGCCGTGTTGATTCTTTCATGGACTGTCTATGGACGCTTTCACAATATAACAAAGTGGAGCAGCTATGACAGAGACCCAGTCACCTGAAACATTAAGTATCTGGCCCTTTACAGCAAAGGTTTGCTGGACCCTGTCCTAAAATACAGCAAGCCTGTATGGAAACTGCCTCTGCCCTGTCTGTGTATGTGTTCAAATGTCACTGTCTCTGAGGGGTTTTTCCCTATCACTCTATCTAGAGGAATCCAGTCCCAACTTCACTCTGTACATATTGAACTTCATAGCTCTTATCTGAAATTGCCTTGTTCATGTGTTTTTAAAAGGTCTTTCCAGAGGAATGCAAGATTCCTGAAGGCAAACCCTTGTTTGCCACATCCACTGTGGCATCCAAATGTGTGTGTTTGGTACCAGCTTCAGGCCCTCATTCTGTGAGGTCAGGCTGGAGACTGCCCACTCTTTGGCTTGTGGGAATAAAACAAGCAGCCCAATCAAACCTGTTACACTTCTCAACGGCTTTAAGAACTTCCAACAGCTAACTGGAGCTGTAAGTTAAGAACAGAATGTGTTTTCCACCAAAAGGAAAGGGGGAAAAAACAGGGTCTACCACCCCTCACAGCTTCTGGACATTGAGTGACAGCTAAGAACCTGCTTTGATTCTCCTTCAGCCTCCATCTGTCCACTGCCTGAGCAGAAGGCTGACATTTCCCTGGTATTCAGCCACCGTTAAAATATAACCTAGTGCCTATAAATAGAAATGTCTTTTAAATAGTAATTAAAAATAACAGTCTGGCATTTGAAAGTTCCTATAAACAAAAACATAAGACATGAAATAAACAACAGTTGCAGCCTTTGATCTTATGTTCAGGTGGGTAAAGAGCTACTGGGTGTTTTTTCTCTGGATTTTGCATTTAAACTCCTGATTCTATGGGGTATGAGATAAAATTGTTGTTAACAGTGCCTTGGAAACCCTCCTCAGGGTCACTATGAGTGGGAACTAATTCAGTGGCACTTAACAACAACAATTAACCCAATGTATCCAAAATAATATCATTTCAACATTGTAAATCAACAGAACGTATTAATGATTTACTTTACATTCCTTAAAAAAAAAATACAGACTTCAATATCCATTGTGCCTTTTACACTTTGAACACATCTGCATTCGAAATATAGCTACATTTCAAGTACTCTATAGCAGACACTTGGGGCTAATAGCTACCATATTGCACTGCACATCTCTGCAAGGATCGGTTATTTAATCAAGTCAAAGTTTCTTGCATTTGAAGAGTTTATGTAAGTTTTTCTCTCTGACTGCTCTCTTCCTAAATATTTAAGTATATATTATTCATCTAGCTATATTAAATATATGACTAAATACGTTAAATTATCTATTACTCATATTAGGATTCATACTGCATTCTTCACAATATGCTGAAAAGTATTAAGGGCCACATCATACTGCATTCCCACAAGCATGCAATTTTACTTTTCAAACCACGGTTTGAACTAGATTTAGTTTTCATTTCCTTTACATATGGCTTCTTTCCTGTCCTAACTGAATGCAACCAAGAAGTTCTGACATATGTGAGCCAAGATTACTTAATGTGCAACAGAACCGCACCATCACTGGTGCATGAGAGGGCATGCCCGTCCACATTTACCAATTAAAACTTCAGGCACTGGACACAGATTTTGGAAACACTGTACCCCGGTTGCCGCAACTATAAGACCTCAAAGTACTAAGTGCCATGGCCTACGTTCCCTGCTGAAGCAAACAAAACCAGGGAAGCACTTTATACTTTGCTTGAATACAAGTCCTTCTGTACTTGTAGGCAAGTAAAGAAGGGGAGAGTTTGCTAATGGAAATAGGAGCTTCAGCAGTTGGACCTGCAAGTCCCTACTGCATTCTTCTCCAAAAGGAAAGTGTTGCCATTTAAGCTGAGGGCACCCCAGTTACCTCTGCATCCTGCTCGGGGAGATGGTATGTCTGCTGGAGGCTTTGCAGGGTATATGGGTGCAGAGTCTTCTGCTCTAAGAGACGTTCCAGAAGTAAGACCAGCTGGTCTGGGAGAAGCTAAGGGTAAAAACAAACAGACTGTAAAAATGCGATTCAGCTTACAGGACATTAAACACAAACAAAGATGGCACCTGGGTGGTTTCAGCATGTCTGAAACACGAAGACTGGAGAAATGACTCTTGTAAGACCTCTTACAAGAGTCAGTTCACTGTTTACTAAGGCTTACTGTCTGAATCCCAGAGACATTTCACTCTGGGGTCCCAGTAAGTCCTATTTTCCATTTCAGAGTAGATAAAAATTGTGCTTAGCTTAAACTAACCATTACCATTGTTAGAACACTTCCATTATGGCATGCATATTCCAAAAGACGTACGTTAGCTTAGATAAACTAAGAACAAAGAAGCCACCTGATTTTAGGCAAACACATGGGAACTGAACAGAAAAAAGGAGTGTTTAAATTTGCTTGTCTACCATATAAACCCTGGAAAAGTGCCTGCTGCAAACCCAAGAAAAAGAGCACTTAACGAAACAAGAATTATGTCTTATAACCCTTTCATTATAGAAACTGTTCCTTTAAAAAAAATTTTTTTAAATCGTTATAGACAAAACACACATACACAAGGTCACAAAGTAAGGGTGAAGAGAATTTTTTATATGAAAGAAAAATAAAACAAACCATTTTGTGCTTGACAAGCAATTATCTATGAAATTACAAGAACCTAAAAGTCATCTGTCTTATTTATGAAAGTCCCACAATGCTGACATCAGCACCTAGTACAGAGGCACATTCAAACCATTAACAGGAAGAAAAATCTCAGTTTCGATACACCTTATAGGAAATGAAAAATAATTGTTCTAAAAATCAAAGTTTTTAAAATTACAGTGATAAACTCCACTAGTTAGCTATGTTCAGCTTCTATCAACTAACAGAATAGTAGTAAGAACAATTGAATTTTAATCTGTTTTATGTTACTCTACAGTACACTTGGTTTCTTTCCCTACCTCACTTCACCTTTCTCTCTCAAGTGTGCACTCCGTCAGCCCTTCCTTCTTACTCCCTTCCCTGACAGGTAAGCACACTTTTCAACAATGTGCATGTAGAGAAGTCAGGTAGACGGCACGTACAACATTCACTATGTAGTTCTACAGCTTTCTCACCTCATCCTTCTAAATTCTAAGGAAACCCCCTCTTCCATAGACACAGACATGGCTGCACATGGCTTAGTTCTTGGGTGCATCTATTTCACAGAGAGTCCTGGTGTGTCACTGTGGGTTCATGCACTGAACTGCAAGGTTGGTATGAACAGCAAGGTTGGCAGTTTAAGCTCACCAGTCGCTCTTGACTTGACTTTAACAACAACAACAACCCACTTCTAAGTCAGGCTGTGGCTTCCACAGTAGGAAACAAAGTGACAGGAGAAACAAAAGGTGCTTCAGCAAAAAATACAGGGTTACAAAGATCACTTAACCTGGGCGGCTCACTGTCGTTACTGCGTGCTGCTGATGCCGATTCATAGAGACCCTGTATAGAGTTTTCAAGAGCAGCTGAAAGGTTAAGAACTGCTGCCCTTTTGGTTACCAGTCCAGTGCTTATTCTATAATGCACGTGAGGCTTTATACAGGGGTTCAACGAATTACCGACAATTTCCTTTTACTAGAACTCGTGTGCCTCTAACCTTCTTTGCTGTGGTTGTAAAATGCTATCGAGTCAGTTATGACTCATAGCAACGCTGTATAGGGTTTCTGAGGAGCGTCTGGTGGGTTTGAACTGCTGATCTTGTAGTTCAAGTCGACCTTGCAGTCCAGTGTTTATCCTGTAGCACCACACCAGGACTTCTAACAATTTGGCCCCTTTTGATGAAAAGTTAGTGTTTGGGTCAAAGCTTTGGGCTTCTTGCTATTTACATGCCGTCGAGTCGATTCTGACTCATCGTGACCCTGTATAGGGTTTCCAAAGAGCAGCTGCTTGGTTTTAATTGCTGACTTGGCAGTTAGCAATTCAGTCCTTTATCCTACTGTGCCACACCAGATCTCCAAGTTGCTTCAAAAAATATCAAATAACTACAAGTAACAACAACAAAAAGTTTATCATTTTCTAGTTTCAGATACATGCGGCTAGGATTCTGCCATGTTTAATAAAACAGGCTACACCTCCAGGGACCCTCTTTCTTCGTCTGGCATTCCCAGTGGTGGCTGGCAGAGGGAGGGCTGCGATCCACCCTGAAGAACACCTTACTGGGAAGCAGAGAAGAAACCTCTCCTTTCTTATTGACTTCTCCTATCATGACTCCATCTTGACATTCTCAGCCTGGCTGACTGGCAGCAAAGCCAGCCAGCCATCCTGTCCATAGCTGCTTTCTCCTGCTCTTCCTTCCCTTCTCTCGTCCAGGGCAGGCCTCTCCACAACCTGGTGCCCACACCTCCCACTTCTTCTAAGACCACTCCCCAAAGTGCCTTCTTGCACTAGAACCATCTTTAGGTGCCTCCCCTGCCCCATATGCACGCATGGCTCCCCCACAACCTAGCCTGAGCACCCCCTGCTGTGGACACAGCACTGTGGAGGGCACTGCACCAGGTAGAATGGCTTCCAGTATCCCAGCCAGCCCATGTGGGAGCATCTGCACACCACCACCCTCTGCCGGCATGCTCAAAAAAGGCTAGTAAGTCTCTAAAAAGAGACAATGTTGGGGAGGGCAGCAGTACCCAAATATTTATCCATGGTCAATGGGGGGTCACTCCAGAAATGGGCAGGCTGGCTTCTGGGAACAGGTCCTACCTGACAGAGAAGGGGTTCTAAGCACTATCAGTGCTTGCTTCAGCACAGAACACCCATCAACCAGGCATGGGGCCTAATGCTCACCGGGTATTGTATGCTAACTGAATACAGGCAGGAACTGGCCCTGCCATTTCACAGAATTATAAAGAAGGAAAAAATGGAAAGGAAAGCATCTACCTATTATGTATTGGGGCTTACAGAGTGCCTACTGTTTTAACTCAAGTTTGGGGCTTGGATGAAACTAGTGACTAACAAAGTGAAGAAGCCCTAAGTAAGATGACCAATGCATACAGTCAGTCAACAAAGCTCCAGTTTAAGTCTAGAATTATCAATATACAAACCTCTCAAAATACCTGGATTTTTACTTGTGTACCTTTCCACTTTCTTCTTGGCAGAAACAGAAAGGCAAAGACCGCTGGCAGTTTTTGGTCCTTTCCAACTTGTGCTCAATGTAAATACTTAAAACCAAGCTGCATGACTGGATATGGACAGCTGATGGGGGAGGCAGCGAGTACATGGTGTAGTCAAACCTTTGCAGTTCATTACAAAGAGTAATTTTCTCTAATTGGAGTGAGGTACGGAGCAAGCACCCACACCCCCACCAGGTATCGGTTCCTCTTTCAGGACCAGCGCCTGACGTACGAGCGCAAGAGTCAGCTTGTCCAGAGGCGGGCATGATGCAACAAGGTCCTCCACACGGGTGATTAGAACATTCCTCAGTAACGCCACCAGGCCTCTTCTAGTCCAATGCTTTAGAAATGACTCTCACTTTTGTAAACAACCTGCAGCCAGCTCGCTTTCAACTGTAACTCTTAAAATTCATGGGGAAAATGAAGTTTCTATACAATTAAAAAAAACAACAACAAAAAACCAACCTGGGAAAACCAGCTTGCCATTATTTCCAACTAATGCTATTTCAATACCTAGACTAGACAATTAATCACCATCTTTCATTCACAAATAAGTAAGAAAATATTTTATAACTTTTAAATGTGATTGCAGACCTTAAAAAAGTAGATATTAAAGCAAAAGTGTGGTAAAGGGCTCTACTTTACTAGAGTGCATTTCTCTTAGTAAAACAGTTCTGCTGCATGCAATGCCATTTAACAGGTAATAAACCAAAATGTTTGTAAAGCAACTGGAAGACACCATACGCTGTTAGCAAATGTTTCCAGAGCATAGTGCTGGGCATGAGCTGTGCCCTGGCAGCTGGCACAGTGGTGATGGGAAATGTGTGGCTCATTCCACTGCCACCCATATAGAAATCAAATTAAATTTCTTATGACTTCTAGGCCAACTCTGTTTTACTACATCAATAAAAGAGGTAGCCAGATACGGCTTTCATTGTACTTCAAGAAAAATGAAGGGCATATTTCCATTACATCTCCTAAGAAAACTGTTCCTTTAAACATTAGCAAAGAACTTGCTTTGATTTCTGCGGATGACGGTGCTCCCATCTACAACTCAACAGTGATGGGAACAGAAAGTCCTTTCCTTTGCACAACTAAGGCATTTGTGGTGGGATGCTATTTTTTCCATATGGCGACCAGAGAAGCATTTAAAAAATGCATCTGCCTCGGAAACTTAAGAATAACCAACACCAAACCCACAGACATTGAATTGGTTCTGATTCATAGCAACCCTATAAGGCAGACTAGAACAATTCCATTGGGTCTCCAAGGTTGTAAATCTTTAAGGAGGCAGACCGTCACATCTCTCTCCCTCAGAGTGGCTGGTGGGTTCAATCTGCCCACCTTCCAGTTAGCAGCTGAGTGCTTAACTACGGTACCACCAGGGGGTGCTAAAACCATGTGGGTACTTAAAAAGAAAGCACTTCATACACCATTCAACTCACTCAAATGACAGGAAAAAAAAGTGTTGCTGGAGGTCAGTCAGGTATAAACGTTATCTGTTAAGGATTTGGAAGTCTGTATTCTTGCTCTCAACATGGAGGATTCCAGAGTTGCTCATCACCCAGAAATGTAGCTTGTATTTTTCTGAGTCAACTGAAAAGTTGAGGCTAGCCACACAACTCTGGTCATTTTTTAAAAAAAGAGTTTCCACACAGGCTCTTGGAAAGAAAATACAAAATTTCCAAACCCAACCCTAGCCTCCAAGCAGCACAAAGAAAACAAGCCCCGACTCTTCCAGAAGCCTCGGATTGCTGTCATGGCGGGGCACTACACACTCCCAGAAGACCACCCACACAACTCAGGCCCTATGCCACTTCCATCAGCCTAACAGGCCAGCTCACATCTGAGATGGGAAAAATTGTCAAGGC